CTTCCTTCCTTCCTTCCTTCCTTCCTTCCTTCCTTCCTTCCTTCCTTTCTTTCTTTCTTTCTTTCTTTCTTTCTTTCTTTCTTTCTTTCTTTCTTTCTTTCTTTCTTCCTATGTGTTTTGTTTAAAATCCAGCCCAGAGCTTCCCCTTCTGAGCCGTGTGCCCAGCCGTCGTCTATGTCTTTGTGAGGACCACACACACATACATGCAACAGTCTGCCAGTGGACTCCTGCCCAGCCTATCGTTTTGCAGAGTGGTGCCCGTGGGGTTCTGGGTCCCGGGACACAGTCACTTCCCACTTACCACACCATTTCACCTTCCAGTTTCGATTGGCGTCAACTCCGCGGCAGCGAAACCTGGAGTTTCTTGACCTTGTCTTTCTCCAGAATCGATCCTAGACACGGGTTAAAACATCAGGCAGAGAACAAGGTGCTCAAAAGGTGTTCTTCCTAGTTTCATTTCAGTGACCTTGATAAAAATGTCCTGACAAAGGGAAACTTGGAAGAGAAAGGGTTGGTTTGGATTACGTAAAATCCAGGCTGCAGTCTATCGTTTTTGGGGAAGTCAAGGCAGGAACTCAAGCAGCTGGTCTCATTAAGCAAAGAGAATAAAATCATCCTTGCTTGCTTGTTGGCACCTAGCACTCTTGTCTTACCCAGCCCAGGGCCCAGTCCATAAAACAGTACTGCCTGCGATGGGCTAAGTCCTCCTACATGATTTAAAAGTCCAGGCAGGCCCCCACAGATATGCCCACAGCCCAACCTCATCTAGACCCCAAGTGATTCTAGATTGTGTTGTGTCAGTTAAACTATCTGGCACAAAGGCTATTCACATGCATTTTAGTTGCCTTCTGGGTAAAGGTGCTGAATCACTTCGGGGTGTCTTCTTCCATGCACTGGAGAAGACAGAGGCGAGGCTTACTCTGACCCAGCCTCATGCTCTGCTTTCTGACGCTATCCTGTGTCTCCTATACTTTGGCCCCTTTTCCCCCTTAGACAATTTAATACAGTGTATTTTGGTTATTTTCACTTCCACCTCCCTTGGCTTATTTTTATAGGCAAATTTGAATAGTTGAGGCGAGGCTAGTGATTTTTATTAGTTTATTTGGAAAAGAAATCTTTATTTCTATGAAATATTTTCAAAAGAAAATTAGGAAAGTGATTGAGGAGGAGGCCTCTCATGGCTCTTGAATTCATTAACAGTGGGCTGACCAGCAAATGCCTTTCCTGGATCATCACTTTTTTTTTTTTTATGACCTATTCAGTCCCCTTCTCAATTGGCTAGGCAGAGCAACTCACATGTGTCCAGCTGAAGTGGTATCCATCAACATTAAACACAGGCATGATATAGAAATACAGATGGTTCAACATTTTTCTCATGGCTGGGTCAGTCTTGTAGGTCAGAAGGGCCTGAAAGATGAAGGAGACATTTTCCTTATGGATGGAGGCTAAAAGTAAGTTTAAGAGATAAACACACTGTGTGAGACATCCTTTCCGTTTAGAGAAAGACCATACAAGCTGGGCTGAAAAGTTACAAGCTCAGATGAACTGTGCTCTGTTCTTTTCTCTGCTGGCAATAACACCAATATTAATATCATCGATAGTAATAACACTAAAACAATAGTAATAATTCTTGATTATCAATTTATCAGCAGAGCTGATAAACAGAGTAAGTGAACGACGTCTTATATTGTTTCAGCTCTGGCTAAACGAATTAGCTTTGGGCTAATGAGAAAGTAACAATTAGAGGTGTTTTTGTACTCTCCCTCTGATCTGTATCCTAGACACATTTATATAAATATAAATGCATATGTGAATACATGAATGAGCATATCTGTAAATATACATATATGTTAATTTTAGGTCCCATTTACTTTTATCCAAAATAATTAACTACATGTGGTTGATGGCCTCCCTGGTCCATCACAACACACACTGTTGACATGTCATATGCTTTAAGGTGACAGCCTCCAGCCTTAGAACTTACTCTATTCTCTCCTGAGTCTCCTTGGGATGTTTCATGGAGGACACACCTTTGTAATCTTATTATAGCTCCTTCGGGGGCTTGTTCTGTGTGTACATTCATGTCTGTGTGTGCATGTTTATGTGCAGGTCAGCCAGGGGACAATGAAGGGTGCCACTCCTCAGGTGCTGTCCACCTTGGTTTCTTTTTAAAGACATGATCTTACTGGCCTGAGACTTTCCAAGTAGGCTAGGTTGGCTGGCTAGTAAGCTCCAGGGATTCACCTGCCTCCACTTCCTGAGGGCTGGAATTACAAGTGTGTGCCATGTACATGCCCGGCATTTTTAAAAGTTAGGTTCCAAGAGCTGTATTCAGGTCCCCCGTGCTTGCAGGGCAAGTATTGTTCTCACTGAGCCGTTTGCCCAGCCCGAGATCTTGTTCTTACGATTGGGTTTTACTTAAGTTTGATGCCACATCTGAGGACTTTGCGTTCAAATTTTGGACTCAAAGAGAACACTGTAGAGTGTATGCTGAGTCAAGTTGATAAAGTAGACATTTTAAAACACACTTGACATTTTAAAACACACTTACATGGAATAAAATTGCCAACAGTCCTTTTTGATGCACGCTTGTCTCTGCATGGAATGTCTTGGAAAAACACAGGAAATTTCTAACAATGGTTGTCTCCGGGGAGCTGGATCAGAACATGGTGTGGTGGGAAGGGGTCTTTTCATTTAATATCCCTTTAGGCTATTTGAATTTTTTTTAACACATTAAAAGTATAATTCAAAGTATCTCTTAAAAATAGTTTCACATTATTAAAGTGTGGCTGACATATAAAAAAAACTTACATATTTAATGTATACAAGTTTGCTTAATTTAGAGATAAGTATACCCTTGTGAAATCATTATCATCTGTGCCATAAACATACGCATGGCCTCAAAAAGCTTCCGCTCACCCTCTTTATTATGTTTTTTATAGTAAAAACACCTAAGATAAGGTATAGCGTTTTAACAAAAGTTAAAGGATATGATATAACACTATTAACTGCAGGCACTATTTTCTGTGGTTCTCTAGGACTTTTGAGCTGAAGTTTGCACACTGTTACAATAGTGACGATTCCCTTTGTTCCAGTTTGCTGTCTACCAATGAGACAAACACCCTGACCTAAAGCAGCTCCTGGAGAAAGGGGTTTATTTGGTTTTCATTTCCATGTCACAGTCCATCACGGAAGGTTAGTTAAGAAAAGGAACCCAAGCATGAGCGTGGAGGCAGGAAGTGAAGCTTGCTTCCTTATACAACCCAGAACCACCAGCCTTGGTATGGTACCACCCACAGTGGGCCAGGCCTATCTGCATCAATCGTTAATCAAGAAAATGCTCCACATATTTGCCTTCAGGGCAGTCTGATGGAGGCGATTCCTTAGTTGAGATTCCCTCTTCCCAGATATGTTTAGGTTGTATCAAGCCCACCCTTCTCCCCATTTAATCCTTAAATTTTGTGTCTTTTGCCAGACCTGGTGGCACACAACTATAATCCCAGCATATAGAAGGCAGAGGTGTGTGGATAGAGCAAGCCAGACTGTTCTATCTACACAGTAGATTCTAGGCTAGATAGGGCTACAGACCCTGCTTAAAAAAAAAAAAAAAAAAAAAAAAAAAGGGAAAGAATAAATAAAATAAGATGGAACTTAAGCTTTCTTGTTCTCTCCTTTTTTTTTTTTTTTTTGGCTCAATAATACTTTGTTGGCCAGATAAAATAACTAGAACTTCCATGCATAAACAACATTTTTATTAACTAATGTCTTCACTATCTAAATTTGATTTTTTTTATAAAACAAGCTGTGATGGTTACTTCTGTAGTAGAGTACAATGACCAAGACAACTGGTAGAAGGAAGGGTTTAATTGGCTTACGGTTTCAGAGGGATACGAGTCTGTCATGGCAGGGAAGCATGGCAGCCAGCCCCAGACAAGGCAGCTGGATCCCAAACCTCAAGGTTATAACAAGCTGCTTCTCTTTTATAGTCTCTTCTGGGAGGTTTGTGGTTTAAGGGTTTAGATTTAGGCCTTTCACCCATTTTGAGTTGATTTTTATACAGGATACAATAGTTCAATTTCAATCATTTCCACGTAAAAACCCCAAATCTCTAGTATCAGTTACTGAAGAGACTATTAATTTTCTTGATGCCTTTGTTGGGAAAATTCTATCTTTGTATCGATTTCTGGGGCTCCTTATTCTGTTTCATTGATCTTTGTTTCTTTTTTTTTGTCAATATGTTATTGTATTGACTGCTAACTGATTAGCTTTGAAATACAATTTGAGACAGAGTCTTGCTCTATAGCCTGAGGGTTTTAAAAAGATTTTTCTATTATAAATAATTTATTACGTGTGTTTTGTAGGCATGCAAATATGTACATTGTGCGCATGCCTGGTGCCTGCTGAGGGCAGAAGAATGTGTTAGGTCTGCCAGAACTCGAGCTACAGGTAGGTGTCAGCCTCTGTGTGTATGCCAGGAACTGAACTTGGGTCCTCTGAAAGAGTAACATGTGCCCTTAACCACTGAGCCATTCCAGCTGCAATGCTTCAAAATTGTGATCCTCTTTTCTCATCTTCTTGAGCGTTAGTGTTACAGGAACATGGAACCATGCCCAGATCGCAATGTCACTTTTGATCAGGAAATGTGCTGCTTCCAAATCTTTCGGTATTGCCTCGTCTAGTCAGTTACATGTTATTTTTATTTTTTTGTTATGGGACCTTATGAATTTTAAGTCTTTATTCTATTTCTGAGGAGGATGACACTGAAATTTTGTTATGTTATGTATTATGATAAATCTCTGTATTGTTTTCACATATGGGTGTTTTAATAATATTTTAATCAATGAACATAGGTTATCTTTCTGTACACTTATATCTTATTCAGTTTCCTTTATCCATGCTTTATAATTATTAGGGTAAAAATCTTTTACTTCTTTGGTTACATTTGTTTCTATTTTTTGATACTGTTGTGACTTTTTTTTTTCTAGCTAGGTTATTATTTGTGTATAGCAGTTGCTGGGTTTTGTGTGATTTTGTATCTTTGATAAATTCAATTATTAGTTGTCACCATTTATGTGTAATGTGGAGTTTTCTACATGTGGAATCATGACATCTAGAAGTGAGGTGACTTTACTTTGTCCTTTTTGATTTAGATGCTTTTTAAAACTGCTTACTTCTATGATGTTGAATAGAAGCAATCAGAATAGACATCCTTTGTTGTACTAGATTTTAATGGAAATCTTTCAGCGCTTTCTTGTTGATTTATCTTATATTATTATACTTATAATATTACATTATTATATATTATTATTATATTAGTGGGGTATTTTCATTGTGTTGAGGAACTTTCTTTCTAGACCCAAACAATTTTTTAAAACAAGAATGCTGAACTTTCTCAAATGCTTTTCTGTCAATTGGGACAATCATGTCATTTTTATCTCTCAGTTTTCAGTGAGATGTAATCCACTGATTGATCTGTGTTCTTTAAAACTTGTCTTGCATGCCAGGAGCAAACTCCATTTCATCATGGTATATAATCTTTTTTTAAAATTCTTTATTAATGACACTTTATTCACTTTGTATCCCTCCCTGTGGTTCCCAATCCCCAATCCCTCCCTTCCTCCACCCTCTGCATGCATGCCCCTCCCCAAGTCCATTGATAGGGGAGGTCTTCTTTTCCTTCCTTCTGATCCTAGTCAATTAGGTCTCGTCATGAGTGGCTGCATTGTCTTCTTCTGTGACCTGGTAAGGATGCTCCCCCCTCAGGGGGAGGTAATTAAAGAGCAGGCCAATCAGTTCATGTCAGAGACAGTCCCTGTTCCTATTACAATGGAACCCACTTGGATACTGAACTGCCATGGGCTACATCTGTGCAGGGGTCTTAGGTTATCTCCATGCATGGTCCTTGGTTGGAGTATCAGTCTCAGGAAACACCTCTATGCTCAGATTTTTTAATTCTGTTGCTCTCCTTGTGGAGTTCCTGTCCTCTCTAGATCTTATTGTTTCCCACTTCTTTCATAAGATTCCCTGCACTCTGCGCAAAGGTTGCCTTTAAGTCTCAGCATCTGCGTTGATAGTCTGCAGGGCAGAGCCTTTCAGAGGTCCTCTGTGTTAGGCTTCTGACTTGTTCCCTCTTTTCTCCTTCTTCTGATGTTCATCCTCTTTGCCTTTCTGGATAGGGATTGAACATTTTAGCAAGAGTCCTCCGTCTTGATTAGTTTCTTTAGGTGTACAGATTTTAGTATTTTATCCTATATTGTATGTCTATATGAGTGAGTATATATATATAATCTTTTGATGTGTTGTTGAATTGCATTGGTCAGATTCCATGAAAGTCTTTTACATCAGTGTTTATTAGAGAAACTGGCTTCTGACAATGTCTTTGGTTCAACTGTTAAAGTGATCTTGGC